TACTCTGCGCAACCAACTCTCGATATATGATCCATCGCTAAAAAGGACGAAAAAATGGACGTTTCCCTGTACCGATCCAGTAAGTACCTGACTCTTTGTGTTATCCTCTACTTTTACAAGGGCCAGATCAGGTCTAAAATGGAGTACTGCTGTCATATTTGAGCTGGGGGTGCCCAGTCTTCACTTTCCAGTTTCAATAGAGTCCAAAAGCGTCTCTGTATCCCAGTGGGTGACAAATTATTTTCCATTCTGCAATCCCTCTCTCAGAAGCACTCTCTCAAAGACGGGATGTGGCAAGACTCTCACTGATCTATCGCTATTTCCATGGACACTACATTCCTTGCTTCTGTCAGGTCTATCCTTCACGGCTAGGACCCGCCATCCCACATACATTGCAGAAAACTACTCACATTCCTTCCGTATTCCATTGGTGATAAAGTAAGTTCCACTCGAGCGGCTTCTTCCTACGAACCACTGCTCTGTGGAACCGACTCCCAAAAGAATGTTTCCCCGATCACTAAAAGCCTTAACTTAAGTCTATGTTTAACCGTTATCTTCCCCATATAACCGCATAAGCTGTGGCACTTACTCAGTGGCCCTCTACCTCGAGTAGCTCTCGTGTCTTGTGCACAGTGAACCCCTCCGTAAAAGAAGAAATATTTTTAATACAGTCTTCGAGCGACCTTATCGTTCAGTGCAGATATGATAGCACACAAGACAAGCAGCTTCTGTGTTCGTCATAAAGACGGATTGCCATCCAGATTCGTAACTCTTGGAGAAAATTCCGACATTATCTTTCGAGATCGTTGATATCAAAATGTACACTTAAATCAAAAGCACTCTGCAGACAGACGTGTCTTTCAATGCTTCGTATTCTTAATTAAAATGTCCAAAATGTCTAGCGTTTATCTGACCTGTTACATTTTATGAATGTAAAACATGCTTTAGTTTTGACTCACAGGTAAAAAAAAATATGGCGGTAGGATTCTATTTCGTTATGTTTTGTCTATTGTTGGCACATGCGGTGACTGTTGTTGGGATGCTTGTCTTCAGTGACTTCAGGCATTAACTGGTCAGCAAATTTAGGGGAGAAGATTGTGTTCAGTTTTCTTCCTATATTCGCGCCCGTTTGGGAAAGATAAAAAGGATGTGCAAAGTCAAGTCATTTTATTTTTTTATTAGTATTTAAGTACGCCTGCAATCCTAAATATCTGTGTGTTTTGTATGAGGCGGAGACTAAATTATTCTTCATTCGGATCACTTCACGAACTCTGATTAAAACACCGAACACTTTTTTCAAAAACTTCTTGGTTGTGCTGTGACTGTGCGGTTGGTGCAGTTGATAGCGGTTCGGAATTAGAAATCGGAGAGCCGAGTTTGAACTTAAGTCGTGTTCGTTACGTATTTCTTACACGAAAATAGCCTTGGGAAATGTATGAATCCGTCTCTTTTCCCTCAGCTATGGGTTAAATAGTAAGAATTGAATCTGAAAAAAAAATATTGCTATCTCTCAAAAAATAGTTAATGCAAAATTCACTAGTCAAAAAAAAAATTGGTCAACAATCCAAAAAGTATGTTTCGGCTTTAAATAACCCACAAAGGGTTGATAAGTCGTAAAAAGAAACAAATCAATCAGTTGGGCCGCGAACTTTTCATCCTTGTATGCATTTAATTAATCAGTAGTTATGAGACTTTACAACTGTGTGTATGCAGTCGAGTATATATGTGTCTACATTCGAGTGTGTATGTGTCTGTGGATGTGCTTATATGTGTGTACGTGAAAAATAAAATGTGTATATGTATGCGACCGAGAGAAAGCAAGTATGTGTGTGTGCGGGTGTGACCGTTTGTGGAAGATTGGTATGACATTGGTATGCAGATATCTGTGGCAGATTGGTATGACATAGGTATGCGCATAGTGGCGGATTGGTATGACATAGGTATCAGCTGTCACTTGTTTGTAGGCAAAACGTCAGTTCACTTTGCGAAATGAATTTCAGCCAATTCACCACAGTCATTATTGACAGAGTTTCGATTACAGTAAAAACAAACTTTCAAATGCCTAACTGCATTACAATTCATCGTCCTTCATTTTTTTTTAATCAGTGTCACCCCAAGCAAGGCAGTAAAGCCATTAAGACACAAGGGGTTACAGGGTGTGCAAGAATTAGGAACAGAAACAGAAACATTAGAGTAGAAAGAGAAAAGAGCATAGCGATTGACACTACATTTAATTTTTTTACATATAAAACATGGAGCCGGAAGGGAGTTCCACAAGCGAGAAGTACGGGACAAGAAACTGTTAGCATGGAAGTTACGACTACATCTGGCTAGCTCAGCTGTAAATTGATGAGATTTTGCTGCCAGTCTAATATTGCGCTTAAATTCATACAGTGTAGGTACCATAGCGAAGAACTCATCCAAACAATTAACATGAAAGTATTTATATAAAAAAGGCACAGAGAGGCAACCTTACGGCGGTGAGCAAATGATTGAAGCCGAGTGGCCAGATCAGGACCAATAATATTGCTGATTCTTCTTTGGATCTTATCAAGAAGCTCCAAGTTAAATCGCAGGGGCACCTAACCATATATGGCAGCGATATTCTAAACATGGACGAAAGGTATACTTATAGATATGCAAGATAGATTCAGGAGAGAAGAATTACCTCGCTCGACACAATAAAGCTACTTTCTTAGCAGCTGAGCTAGCAATGGATTCGATATAGTCTTTCCATTTCATGTCAGCTGAGAATGTTATTCCGAGAAATAAGTCACTTTCCCGGAGGATAGCATCAGCCATGTTGATGGAAGGCAGAGAAAACTCTCTAAGATGATTAATAGAAAGAAATTTAGTTTTGCAGGCATTAAAATTGACAAGCTATTTTTTACCCCCATTTGACGGTCTTGAAGTCGTTTTGTACATCAGCTGCCATTTTGACTGTCGAGCTGATTAGCTTTAGTATCGAAGCAAGAGTAAAGTGTATATTGGAGTGTCGCCAGCGTATATTCTTATTTTTAATATTTACGCTACACAATCTTCTAATAACGATTCTGTAATACAGTTTGAACCAGTTTGACTCAGACAAGAAGGTATTTTAACAGTTTCTTTTTTCTCTTCAAATCGAACGAATTGTTGCACGTCGTCACTGGCTTTTCGTGGTCTATTGGCAACCCTTCAGGCCCCAGCGCTGCATCACAGACTGAATTAACGACGGACAATTTTTATGATTTATTTCCTTATCTTTTTATCATTTCACCCCAAGCAAGAAGATAAAGCCACTAATACGTGAAGAGAAACAGAATGAGAAAACTGTAATGCGGAGAAAGGACAATAAAAGAACAGGTTTCAGGGAGACAGAAGATGACAAATGACGTTGCATTTCAATTCCAGAAGAACGTAGGTGGTGGGGAAGTAAGAAACTGGAAGAGAGTTCCACAGGCGAGAAGTGCGAGAAAATATATTGTTAGAATAGAATTTGCGGTTACATCTAGCTATTTCAACATTAAAACGAGGGAGGGGGGCTAGTTTCCAATCTATTCTTTCATTTTATGTGCCGTGTCCTTTCAGGACGTAGGCTATCATGGCTCTCCACTTCCCCCTATCTCTCGTAGCGCTCAATAAGGTTCGCGCCTCTGCCACCCCCCCCAGAACACGTTCTGCCATCCACTTGCTTAAGCCCATCAGGTATGTCATGCGTTGCTTTCCCTTGTCTCTCTTTCCCTCTATTCGACCTGTGAGTATCAGATTCTCCGGGCCCTCCCTTCTCATTATGTGTCCCAGAAATTTCATTATGTTAAGTATAAGCTACCTCCTTGTTTGCATCCTCTCCAAGACCTTTGCCCACACGCTCGTTTTCCTTCTGTAGAATTCCAATTTATTAGTGCATTTAAACTGACGCAGAAGAGTTGACAAGGACGAGAGCTCATTAGAAAAACTGTCATGAAAATATTTATAGAAAAGACAGAGGGAAGACATGTTACGGCAGTGGAAAAAGTTGAGATGCCAGGTCAGGATCAATAACATGGCATACCCTTCTTTTGATTTTATGGAAAATCTTAAAATATATAGCAAGAGCACCAGACCAATGCTTTCCTTAAGAAGACATATTCGGAGCAACATCGTTTTTATTAGAGAAAGTGAGAAGAATGTCAAGAGGTTGACCGACTACCCATCACCACGTGTTGACTTATCTCACTAAGGAATCTGAGAACGGCGAAGCGTTTCTATTCTTGTAAAAATACTGTCTTCTCGCCGTTTTCGGCCGTATATTAAAATTTAAACAAAGATAATCCATCATTGTCAGAATTCCACGCCCACGGGGTTCAAGCCAGAACCCAGTAAGTTTGGGTCGTCAAAACTTCTAGCAAGTACGGCAACGCTGTTCTGGGGCTAACCTACGCATTCTGTAACAGAATTTTAAGACGTTATATCAAATTTTAAAATTCGTTCATTTTTTGAAAGAAGAAAAACTGTTAAAATGTTTACTTAGCTCAACCAAGGCAACATGCAGGACAAAATCGTTATTTTAATAGTCTGTTGCATTCATTTTTACTTGGGAACTGTATTAATTCTTTTCCCCTCGCTAAGGATTAAATAGCCGACTAGAGTAGGCTCTCTAGCGTCGGGTGTCAACCGGTGTCAAAGATGGAAGATTCCAAACCGTAAAGAAGTTACTCTTTCATATTTCTTATGACAATTCATAGATAATGAAGAAAAGGCAATTTTTCATTGATTGATTCGTTTTCTACGGCTTATCACTCTCTGGAGGTTATTTAAAGCCAGAAAATATTTTTAGATTTTAAGAATTTTTTTAGATAATAATGGTTTAGTGGGACAAGTATTACTAATTAACCCATAGCTGTGGAGAGAAGAGGTGGATTCATAACTTTGCCAATGTTATTTGCGCGTAAGTGATTATAACCGCAGCAGGAATTGGAACGCGGCTCTCCGATTAGCAATTCCGAGCCATTACCGATTACACCACCCGCACATCCAAGCTTACAGCAGATAGTATTCCTAAGTGGTCACGTATCTAGCTACTGACCAGGCTCGACGTTGCTTAACTTCAGTGGCTATATGGGAACCGGTATTTCGACGTGATGTGGCCATAAGATCAAAAAGGAATTTGTGGAGAAGCTGTCATGAAGGGAAAAAAATCAAAAAATTGGTTCCAGAAATTTGGTAACACAAAATGAGACTAAAAATAAATAAACTTATATAATGAAAAAATCTGTTGAGAGAGATGATCGCTTCCGTCGTTAAGGAACAGGATATATATATATATATATATATATATATATATATATATATATATATATATATAAATATAAGATTAAAAAGGTGATTTTTTCTTGTAAATATTTTCATAGAGTCATTTATAAAATGTTTACAAAAAAATGTCTCCTTTAAAATTGTTTGTGTTGCACTTAGACGAACGATTACATCGGTACACAGATACACTTACACAAAGAGATAAATCTCCATTTTCTAATTAGATTATTAAAGGTTGCTTAAATCTTTCAGTATGTTCAACCTAAAAAAAATGGATATCTATTTTTTGTGCGGAGTAAGAAATTGTCGATCCGGTATTTATCATTAAAATAATAATATTTTAGCATAATGTTTTTCAATATCCAGTATCATTTCTGATCTTCGCCATTGCATTGCACTCAGTCACTTCTCAAAGAGCTAGATAATATTTCTTTCAAAATTCCAGCCAACCAAACACCTTATCGTTTGAGATATAAATTTGAAGGGAACGAACAACTTTGTTGAAAATCTTTAAATTAGTTATCTTTAACTCTTTCAGCGAAAACATTCAGAAATGTTTCTCTTTTCTTATAATATCTTGAAATTTGTCTCGTAATTATTACAGACGTGTAATCAGCATCGAGAGGAGTTTTTATTTTAATATTGCATAAAAGCTTTTGATAAAGTTCTTTATCACAAAGAACTGTTGAAACTGCTAGATAAGGTTAACATATTTGAGAAGTATCTATACCTATAATTCTCGAAATGTGTGTGGTTGGATGTTTATGCATTTCCACAGTTTTCATCCGATTTCGATTATTTTTTTTTGTTTGATAGATAATTCTTCAGTGTCGGTTTTGAGTCCAAATTGTTGGCGACAATAGCTCTCCACTACTTCCTGTCCATTATAACTCTCACAACGTTTTACTATTTACTGTCTGTTCTTGGATATATATCTTTCATAAAAACTTTAATAAAAATAGTTTAAATTATTACAATAATATTATTTATTATTATACAGTTCCCTTTTCAGGGCCTCTCCCCATTCAAATTTTTAACCCCCCCCCCCTCCATTTGGGGATGTGCCTCAGTTGCACCTAAATGTTGCTACTAATATTGATTTTCAGGTGCAGTGAATTTAAACTTAAACTGCTACTGCTAAAGTGAACGGCAAAATTGCCAGTAATTAAAGACATGTCGAAGGCGGGTTATCCTGCTAGTAGTAAAATAATCCAGAACTTATACTGGCAGCAAACTGCTTGCATACGGATAGAAAATATGTTCAGTAAATATACAAAAATAGAAAGGGGTAAACGACAAAGATGTGTCTTCTCATCGAACTTATTCACCATATATAATGAGGCGATTCTGACAGAATTAAAATTCCTACCTGCATTCATTATTGGCGGCCATAATCTTAACAGCATAGGACATGCGGATGACACAGTGTTGACAGCAGACATAGAAAGGGAACTACTTGAAAGGAATGAAAGAAATCGTGAATAAAGAACTAAACATCAATTTTAAGAAGACAAAATGCATGGTTATTAGTAAAAGGAACAACCCAACATACAAATTAAAAATTGTAAATACCAATGTCAAACAAGTACAGCAGTTTAAATATCTAGGGAGTGCTTTAACAGACGACAGAATTGCGACAGCGAAATACGAAGGGGCATTGGAATAGCAAAATATACTAGGCAAACTATTAAGAAACAAAAAATTTCGTTAGAAACAAAGAAAGGAGTATACGCAACATCAGTTCCTCCTATATAGCAATGAACGCTACACCATACCCTCATAGATGAAGTAGAGACACGATGCGATAAAAATATTGTTCTACAGAAAGATGCTGAGAATAACATGGATTTAACGACGAAGTTTTAGAGAAAATGAAAACAAAAAGGACACTTATACAAGACAGTTGAAATTTCTTAGCTTCATAATGGGAAAAGGTTGTTTAGAAAATTTGATACTGACAGGACAAATTGAAGACAAGTGTGACAGAGGAAAACAACGCATAACCTAACTAGCGACCTTGAGTAAAAAGATGGCAGAACAGGGTTTAGGAGAGATAACAAAAAGACAAAATTTATAAGTGTTACAAAGAACAAGAAATCGCGTACAGCCTTGACCACCAACGTCCTGAAAAGATATGACACATAGAAGGAGAAAATTTGTTATTTTAAGTTGTTGTGGATTCCGGGATGAAATCCAGTACCAATAAATAACAAACGCCAAGAAGGAATATAGGAAAATAAATGTATTAATGTAATAACACAACTGTTAATGCAGGTTAGTAGTTCTAGGAATGCGGGTTAGTAGCAAAATATATATATAGTCTTTGGTATCGACGTATCATTGTATGACTTCTTACTGAGTCTATGTGCTTGCTCATTGTGACTCTTGCTCGTTGCGTTCGTTCTGGTTCGTCGCTCGTTCGTCCGTCTTTCTCGTTCTTCTCCCCCCCCCCGGGTATTCACTAGCAGTAGTATATGTATTACCCTGGGTGAGTCCATTTGTGTTAAAAGGGGAGAACCCCTCAACATAAGTTCAAGTATACAAAAACCTACGACAATAAAATTGTTTCATGTGCCTGTTTTAAAAAGTGCCCGCGTTCAAAAATGAACCTACGCATGCCTCATTCTTTTACTCCAAATAATCTTAATATTTTCGTATCAATCCACAAAATATCATCCCGCGCTGATTTCTGGGAGTATATTTTATCAATTGTCCTCGCAATTTTTTTTTAAAATCCGTATAAATGTTCCAGGTTCATCTTGTCATTTGTGGGACAATAATACGCCGACTGCTCCAGCGTAAAAAGATATAAACTAACCACAAAAGGAGCAACACGTATGTTTACCTTTTTGACTGTTGTATAAGTCAAACCTATATCTACCTATCCATTGTACAGAATTCTGCTTTAAATAACCCGGAAAATGTTGATATGCTGTAAAATAAAAGAAACCAAACCAGGATTTAGATAGATAGATAGATAGATAGATAGATAGATAGATAGATAGATAACAGACTGGGATATATGGATAGGTAGATAATAACAGACTGGGATATATGGATAGGTAGATAATAACAGACTGGGATATATAGATACATATGAACAGACTGGGATAGATAGATACATAGATATAAGCAGACTTTGATAGATAGATAGATAGATAGATAGATAGATAGATAGATAGATTCACCTATCGTCCGGTTCACACTCCAATCCTTTTTTTAGAACAGGAGTAGAGTTTTATGCTTTGTTTCCTCTTTAGGGTAGTGTTTCCGCTTCGTTCTAAAGTCTACTGCCACTCTATACTCCTAACGCTTGTTTTTTTCCTCCGCTAATATAAACCCAAACAGGAAATCTCTACCTTGAGTGGCTCTTGGGCATTGTATTGGGTAAACATTAGTAAAAAAAAAAGATACGGTACAGAATTAGATAGATAGATAGATAGATAGATAGATAGATAGATAGATAGATAGATAGATAGATAGATAGATCTGTTGTGCCAAGTATTTGTGAATATTACCGGCCATATGTGGAAGATAACGTAATGTAATGTGACATTCGCCAAATTTTAACATTCACATTATCGCTTTGAGAAGTCTCGTGAACATTAACTTGACATTTTCCAGTCTGATATCTTGTTATATATGAGTACGCGCGTGTGATGCACCATGTATTTGAGAACACCGTTTTGGCGAGCCATAAATGGAAGATGATCTACAGTAATTTAATCCGGAATGAGCCGAATTTTAACGCTCTTATTTCTTTCTCAGACATACCAATCTGACACGAGAAGTGAAAAAGCACCTCCTACTCACGGCACTAGCCACCAACGACAACGATTCGGAGATAGCCACCTTAATGACAATGACCGAGAACGAGAGGTGGCTCTGCGCGGACTTAGGAGAGCTAGCCATAGTGATGCACACTTAGTTCGCGTAGTCTGTGATTGTGAATGACGACAGTCATGTCAAACTACCCTTCATTTTCCTGCTTGACCTCATGGGCAATTTTTCTACCGATATCGATGTGTTGGACTCGGTGGTAACGTCCTAGATTGTGAGAGTGGCCGTACATGTTCCAACAGGAAACGGTTGCTTTTCACATGATCTGGGGTCATATCAACTCCTACTAGCATATGGTATCCTAGCTCACCTGATTTGAATCCCTTAGTCAACTATGTCTGGGGCATTGTCAAGAGGGAAACCAACCAGCAACAGAACAATAACAATTATTAATGCTGAAGACCGCTGTGGCCAGGATGAAAAACCACCTGATCCGAGAAGACAGTTACTTCTGAGACCTGATTTAGACTGTCCTCAAAACTGAGGGAGATTATATTGAAGATTTATACACATTTCAGGTCTTTGTTTTTTTTTTTTTTCTTTATATTCATATATATTCTCAATTACAACGTTTCACGGTGTAGTCGTTCATCAGGGTCAAACTAGAATAGACACTCACCGAGAAGGGACGATTTTCTTTATTGATAAAAGTAATTATTACTCTAGTTGTCTATTGAGCACTTTTTTGCTCACATTGACCAACGATACACAAATTAACAAACTGATTATGGCTAACAACACGGAGATCGGATCCCTCAAATTCCACAAAATTATGGATGAGTATCATCCTGGTTACTCATAAGGGAACGTAAAAACATACAAACCTAACACTCCACTACGTCTCATAATCTCACAAACCCCAATTCTTGTATATAAATTAGCAAAACCCCTAAACCAACTAATACTTCCATACTTAACCAATAAATATATCATTCCGTCCATTTACGAATTCCTTGACATACTATTACCCTATCCTACACCCATTTTAACCACTATGGA